TACATTTTTCACAAGAAAAAAGTGATGAAGAAACTGTCAAATGTTACTTAATTCAGTGTTAAATAATGCTGTGAGTACAGGACACACAGATCTCCACTGCAGTTGCACAGCTGGGCCATTGCTGGGACATTCCATTCACCCTAGAGGATGCTCAGAGGAGGGATAATGCACGTGTCCCACTGTGTATCCTCATGGAACTGCAGGGCTCTACGCAGAGAGCTCAAATTAGAACTATGCTGCCTATTTTTAGAGGGGCTGAAATGCAGCCTTGTCAAGTTTAGGCTTCATGTGCCAGTTTCACTGGGAAAACTTCTGGGCTTTGAATCCCTTGGGAGATGGTTTTGTATATGCTTGAAATTTAAGATTAGCATGTTTCTGTGGACAACAGGTAATAGCCATTAAGGAGACAGAAACCAGAGCTATTGCACTGAATTCACAGGTGGGAATTTGTTTCTCTTCTTGCTAATTCAACTATGGAAAATTCCAAGTTTTCTGAGTTTGGGTGGATGAAATTTGAATTCATTGAACTATTTATCAAAGTGAAGCTAAATATATGAATAGTGATTTTAAAATAAAACCCTTATAAATTTATTGTACAAATGTGATAATATTTAGTAGTGATTCTGAAAATTCTACCTTCAAAATTATAAAATTATTATCTGGCTCCTGGCTAAAATACTTTAATCAGTAGCTCCAGCTTAATAGTTTTAAAAACTCTGGGCCTAGCTCATGGTAAACCTTAGCATGTCAAAACCAGGAAGACTTATGTGTGGTTTTACTTTGACTATTGATTGTGATCTGAACTTACATGAGAAAGGTTATATTAAAAAAGGCAAGTCAGTTCCCAAAACTTTTGCAATGTAGCTGCTGTGTTTTCCTAAACAAAAGAGAATAAAAATAAGAATGGTCTTAGTGCCATTCTGAGAGCTGAGGAAGAAGCTGAGAGTGCAAGAACAAGATTGTACTGCTGATGAATAATGCCAGCTTGGAAACAATGTCAGCTGTTTAATAACTCCAGGCTCCTGCTCTTTGATAGGAGATGATCAAGGTGAAAGAAAAAAAACCCTACAAATGAAAACTATGCTTTTATTCATAGAGGGAAGCTCTCACAGACAGAACCACAGTAAAATGCAAGCTGAGAAAATGGTATCTATCCATCCCTGATTAAATATTCCTAGAAAGACTGCTTTAGAGCAGTTGTGAATTAAGGTAATTTTGCCATGCTTTAAAAAAAATGACACTAAAATTAGTACAAACACAGGCCCATTTTGATATATTGCAGCAACATCTTCTGTTTAGACAACAAATCACCATAACAGTGTAGCAGCCCTGGTTACCCTCAACAACTTCAGTAAGAATTCATCTCTCAGCTAAGTCTTGGCCAGCCAAGCTACTGAACAGTTCTTCCCTTTTTTTCAAGACTGTGACTGAAGATATTTCTTCACTTTAATTTACTGAGGAGAAGCTTTCAAAACACAGATCGAAACTCAAGTAAAAAAATGGCCAGCCTATTTGTATTTGCATTGAAAAATCAGGGAGATTAGATTTGTACTCAAAAAAATGGCACTGAAACTTTAAAACACTTGAGAATTTCCTTGTACAACCTTATCAAAACATGCAAATTAAGAAGGTGCATATACTATTGGCAAGTGTGTTTTCAATGCAAGAAGGCACCTAACAGTTAACCAGATATTAAAGACTTCATATGAAACACATAAAAGAGTTTATCCTTAGTTTGTTTCTGCAAATATTCAAAATTCTTGCTATTAAATGAAGAATGAACATATGAAATAAGTTATAATGACAAAAGTATTACAAAATGCTGGAGCAATGGTTTCTGAATTTTCTGTTTCTGACCCTATTTGCATTTCTTAAAATCACATATTTTACAAAACACATCAACTGAATATTAATTTAATTTAGGTTATCTTGGAGTAAAGGCTAAGGAGAACTTTATCCTAAAATGGTCCTTAGGAAAAGATTGTAAACCCAGTTCATGGAGCCTGAAATACTGGAAACAGGACAAATTTCTTTAATGATACTCAGTTACATTTCTTTTTGCTGTTTGGCATAGAAGTAATGCATCCCTTTAATAATTATTTTTTGGCAGATGTTTGCTTTTGGATTCTATTTCACAGTCAGAACTGGAATCCTGACTAAGGAAAGCTTTAAAGACAAATATTTTAATCCTTAAAAATTAAGTTATTTGTGGTTGTACTGTCACTCTGCAAATAAGATATCGCAATCACAACAATACTCACACATTAAATTTTTCCACTTTCCAAAAGAGTCACTGTTTTTAACATCATAGCTACCTATTTTATAAACCCTGTGCATTTCTGGTCAACTAGGTTACATGTAAGTTTTGAAAGCAATCAATCTAGCTGCTACCAGAAAAGCCCTACATTACGTGTTCATGCAGAAGTAATTTTGCAGGTAAGGTTTGCTTTGGTTAGGGACTGCGCAGTGACAACACTGCCAGCAAAGCCTCCTTTTGCAGCTGTAGCTCAAAACTGCAAGTGTCCCCATCAGCAGGAATAGCAACCAGGTAACTTAAACACAGGAACTGCAGCTTGATCCATCCTGTGCTAAATAGACTTGCTAATAAAAGCTGCATTTGCTCCTAAGAGGTTGTGTGGTTATTCTAGAAGAACTGTCAGTAACCAAAGCCCAGGAGAAACTTCAGAAAAGAACAACTTGGCTCCTCTTCAGCACATGAACCCTACACAGAGGGGCATCACCTACTGAGTGACCTGGGAACATAAAGTCTTGGGGATAAGGAAGAAGCTGAGACACTCCCAAACTGAAGGCAGGTGGTGTTTGTGTTTGCTTTTTTTAATAAAAAAACATGTATTTAAAATATCAGCAATGACAAGATGTACAAATTCCATGATTGTTGATCAAAGAGAGAATTTTCATCATTCATCCAAACTTGTGTTCTAACTGCATTCAGGCAGAGCCTTGGCTCTGTTATTTCAGGGATAAGTGGTCTCAGGACACAGGACCTCTCCTGCCTAGGAGCACAGTCTGTACCTCCTGCCCCAGGACACAGCTCTAACTGGCAATTGAACCTAACACAGTGAAATGCCAAAGCACAGGAGCAATAACAACATGCAACAGTGCTACTTGGCTGTTCTAGAGAAAAAGGGCAAAAACTACATAGAGAAAGAAAAAAGGAAAACCTTTACAAAAACTCTACATATACAAGCAAAAGGCAATTTCTTTAAAATATTTAGCAAATAATTATTTCATTGCATGATGCAACTTTAATCTAGCACACAACACAAGGCTACAACTTTATCACCTGTTACTATACCCTTCATTTTCACCCCATACACATCAATGCAAAACCCCCAAACCTCACTGACAGAGCTGAGGCAGCATCTGTGAAAAACCCCAAACCCACAGTTCATGGAGCACCCTAATGCCCATTGCACAAGCAACGTTTGCCCTCAAAGGCTGTCAGCTGCCCTTTTCTGAACCAGGCTCTACAGGCCATGCACTTAGGACAGCTCGATCTTACTCGGATTTTCAGTTCTCTTAGCACACTTTACAGGCATTCTCAATACTCAGCACATCTGACATCATCAGTCTGAATAGGCAAAAGTCTCATGGAAAGACTTCTTCTCTTATTAAGTAAATTAGAATTCAGGGCAACAGAAACCCTAAGGTCTGGATTGTAAACCACACCCTAAAAATACAAATGTTCTGATATCAATACAGCCAAATGAAAAACAAGATAATTAGCAAATTTTAATCTTATTTTCATCTTAAATTTTCATCTGCAGAAAAATGTTCCCTTGGAAATTTGTCACAGCTCAGCCACAGGTTAAAGTTAACAATTCATAATTCACACTTAAAATGCACAATAAACATTTTACCTTAAAGTGCACAGTAAAGTTTTTACAGAACCTGAACACAAAAAATATTTTCCCCTTCCATGAAGGAAATAATATTGGTCTGGTGGTTCCCATTAGAATCGTATAAATACATGTGCAAGTCATAGATAAAGGTTTTGTAAATAGCAAATGTAAATATATTAGTATGGAATAACACTGGACCAACCCTTTTGCCAATGGCAGTTTGTTATACAGTTGGATCAGAGTTCAGTGTAGAATATTATAATTTAACAATGCACACGTTCACAAACTTTTCCCTCTTTTATGCTATACAAAATGCTAAAAGTATTATCTTCTATGTGACAATGACTTTACTGAGTTTATTGACAAACAGTTGATTTGAGACATAAAAATACAAAAGCAATAGGACTCAAAAGAAGCCAATATTGGAAGAACTTTCAACAGTTTTGGAAAATCTTGCTTAGAAAACAATGGTATTTTACAAGAGGAATTACTCTTTGGTATAAAGGAACAGTGCCAGTGGTACACACGTTTTTCACTTCCTAGTGAAAGAGGTGAAAGAGCTATCAAAACTGAGTAAAAAAAAAAGCCTCTTAAAAATATAAGTAAGGCACACTCAAAATTAATTTGCACTGTGGCACCACAGAATCTCTACTCAGTCAGACCAAAGGAAAGCCCTTTGCAAGGCAGAGCAGTACTGGCTTTGGAATGGTAACAAGTATAACTGGTAAGCAGGCGAAATGTAGAGCATAGCATACAAATGGATTTTACTATGACAAACGCTTATAGTCATGTTTTAAAATTCAGAATTCAGTCCTAGTATATTCTAAACAAATTCCTCCATCACTGTCCACTGAAAACAGGCAGTTGCCAGAGAGTGAGACATTAAAAATCGTAAAAGCAGTGTTGTATCATGTAGCAGGTCACACAGACTAATCAAAACACAGCACATTTTTAGCTTGAACAAGACATCATAACTTTCACAAGAAAACACCTTTATCAGTTAGTCTTAGCACTTAATTCTTATGGTCTTAGTAAAAACTTAATTTAGCTAATTCAGTGGTATTACAGAACTGGTTAAAGTGCTTCAAAAAGAATAAAAATAATTCACATTTCTCTATTAAATATATTTTTTTCCTCTTGAAACTTGCCTTCAATAATTAACTCACATGGTAAAACTGATGGGACAGCATTAGCAAGAAACAGCTGGTTATCTTAGATGGGGCATTTATTAAAATATTTCATGTATTTGCCAAAATACTTATCAGTGCTGTGTGTTGACAATCTCATGAATCATCTTTTGCTTTTTCCTTTGGCTAGTGCCTCTGCATAGGTCAGGTGAATAAAATCAAAGAGTTGTGTGGCATTGGCAGCATTACCCAAAATCTTGGAGAGCTCATCCTTGGACAGTGTCATCAGCTCTGCAATGCTTTTAACGTGGGTCATTACAGCACGGCAGTTTTTTGCATTAATCCCTGGCATTTTTAGCAGGAAGTCCTGAGGCCCAGGGTTGTACTTGTTTGACTCAGGGAGAATTTCAGAATCTGCAGTGATGGCCATTGCTTTTTCTGCATTGGGTTGGGGATGGTTTTGTTTCAACTCTTCAAACAGCTCAGCAGTAGCGTGGGGAGAGGGACACCACAGGATTCGTAACTTTGGGAAGTGCAGCGTGAGAAGGGTTAGTTTAGAAGTAACATCATTGCTGGAAATTTCTGGCTGCAAAGAACCTCGTGGGATCAAGGAGAAGGATTTGTTAGCATCAAATTCAATGAGGAGAACTGGTCGCTTGTAGTAGCGGCACATGGACACACACTGTGCGTACAGCCTGCCATTGTTTAGGGAACCAATCAGATCACTGATGCTCTTCCTCTCCACACAGATATCAGGGGTTAGAATATAATCCCCAACTTCCAAAGTCACAGGCTCAATGTCGATCCCACGGCGATGGATCAGCGATGGAAGCTCACTACGGAATTCCCGCATATCCACAATTATGGTTTGCTGAACACCCTTCTGTTCCTGTCCACCTAAAGAGCAAAATAAACACAGTTATCCCCATACTTGGCACCTCCTGCTCCAGTTGTTTTCCGGTCTGCTGCCATGGCTTCTGCAGTGGATGGACTTATCATCTTAAATTATACCTCAAATTCAGCAGTACAATAAATCCAGACTTCATTTGGTTTTTTACCATCAGAGAAAAAAACCACTTGCTTAAATACATACTGTAATTTATGGAGCATGCTTTGCAGGTTGATAGAACTACCATGCTACATGCTGTAAGCTTTGTATAGGTGACAATGAAATACATTAAGTTGTAGATGAAAATTATTTAAATTAGTCAGGGAAATCTTTAAAAGGCTGCCTGCAAAACAAAATAATGAAGCTGGTCCCTTTCATTTCTGGCTGTTTCCCACAGAAATACAGCTTTTATTGTAGGAATTATGTGTTGGCCTCTACAGATCTGCAGGACACATATAGCACCAAGGCCACAAAAGATATAACAGCAAAGATTAGAGAGTACATGGCAAAGGAGAGCAGGATTACAGAAACATCAGCAGAGAAAAACAAGCAGAGGCATAGCATACATGTTAGATGAAAAAACCCAAAAATGTGGTTGAAATTGCACCAAAAGGAAAAGGATGCTTTATTGAAAAAGAAGTGATCAAACCCATAATGTGCAGTTGTTTATTCAGGCAGCATGTTTTACCAAGATGAAAGGAAGTCCCCAACATTTATTAGCTCAAGGACAACACTGCCTTTAACCATCTGCAGACTTCAGTTTCTATGTTTTAATTTCTCTTCCTACAAACAGCACTAGACAGCCTCATAACCAACAATCTGACTAGAAACAATCCAAATGCTATCTGTCTTAATGGTCAAATACTTCATTAACCTGTATTTTCAATGGAAACCAGAGCCCATTGTCACTGGGAAATAATGTTTCTTTAGTATGAAGACTGCAGAGCCAATGTGCAATGTGTTTCTGACCCCAATGCTTTGAGGGGGATTTAAAGTGCAATAGTTACAGGACTTTTGGAAAACTCTGGGCTGCAAGCCTGTCCTAGGAGCTGCTCACCTGCTTTGCGTGTGTCAGCAGAGACAGAGGCAGGTCTAATGTCTCTGAGGAGGTCTAAATTTGTTTCATCTCTTCCTTCTCTTTCCTCAGGAACAACCATGCTGGCCTTCTCTCTAAGAAACCACAAACAAACACACACTAAAAACTGCAAATGCAGGGGTAAAGAAGATTGAAATACTTCAATGCAATTTACTGTTTTTTTCTAGGTTTTTCCATTTACAAAGGAACTAATAACTAGTAATAGCACTGTAACCAGATGAGAAGGCACTGTCAGTAAAAATACTGTCTTATACAGTCTAAGGAAAGAATTTTGTTTCCCCAATTGACTTATGTTATAAAAGCTTTAAAAATTATCTTACAAGAAATGCTACCTGCAAAAACACAATTACACAAATGAACTTCATAGACAATTAGGAAAAAATTCAAGTGATGCTGATTAGCCTTTACATTAATATTAAATGCTGCTAAAATTATTAAACAAAATACCAGATGCTTTGAAAAGGAAAGTTGTGACTTTTTGTTGATTCTCGATAGGCAAGAAGTCTTTACATACAACAAAGAATTGAATTAAAAGTTTATTTAAAACCTCACCCAGTAAAGAACTTCATTCTATTTAAAATGTAAGCATATTAGAGAATTACATGAAACACAAACAATAAAGGCAGTTAAACTAATTGTGTTACCGAATGAGTTTTTCAAAGGCCTCCTTCTCTTTCCTCAGAGCTGTGAGGTAGCGCTGCTCTTCTGTGGAGCCCCCATATATGAGGAAATAAACTCTGTAGGTATAAAAGAGAAAAAAATAGAGGACACAAAACTTTGTATTGAGTTAAAAAATCCACAACCAATAAATTTTAGATTGGTAGCAGTAAGTGCCTGACAAAGTAGTTAAAAGTACATTAAATTTTAAGTTTTCTAAATTTTTAATTAATATGTGGCATCTATTCATAAAACTGAGTATTACAATTTCAAGGTGTATTAAATACATATACCCAATGTGGTGATATTTCTGTCAGCTAATGCAGTAACTGCAAATACTAATTTTCTTTATTGTGTTTCCTTTACTTGCTTCTCTGTTGCAGTTTCTGAATAACTGGTCTTCAGCATGATAAACATCAGGAAATGTGAAAATTAATTAAACTCAAAATGAATCCTTCTGCTTAAAAAATCATACCTTGAGAGATGGTTTAAAATGAGACTATATCACTTCAAAATGATCTATTGCCACTAAAACAACTGAAGCAGAGGTTTTGGAATTGTTTGGGTTTTTTTTAACACACATGTTTCGGTTGTTAAGGGACTAATATCTGCTGGAAAGTAAAAATTATCTTTTGGTTACACCAGACGTTATGCTTTTGTTTAAACTTAAGGGCTCAACAGGAACTGAAAGGTAGCTAATGAAAATGAACAGCAGCATGTTCTGCCTTAACTGCTGACAGTGCACTTTTGATTTTTTACTTTTCAGACTAGAATTACCCTGGCCAAGTCAACTTGCCTCAAAGGCTTCCCAGGCCTGCTTGCCTTGTAGATTTCCAGCTGCCGAACAAAAGTGAGTTCTGCATCATACAACACAACATATCTGGGTTCTACTTCGTGCAGCACCCGAGTGAGCGCATAGGGATCCCCACACCCCTGCAGCGGGTGGATAATTGTCAGTGGGTCCTTGAAAATCCCATAGTAACAATCTGAGGGCAAGTTCACATCAAAATCTTCAGGAATGGTCTCTTCAGTGCCGCTTTCTTGGCTACTGCTTAATTCTTTGATGTCTTCCACCTCGACTTCCTCTCTCTTTTCCTCCTCAGTTTTCCCTATCATTTGGATTATAGTCCGGTCTTGCTGCTTCTTGTGTTTATTTTGTTTTGAAGAAGTTGTGAGTTTGGCTTTTTTGGCTTGAGGTCCTGTGTCTGGTTTGGCATTTCCTTTAGACTTGATGGCTTTTCTGTCCTTAATCCACACTTCTCCAGCTTTCTCATCTGTTCCAAAGGTTTTGTTATATAGTCTTGTTAAAAAAGCTTCTGCTCCAGCAATAATATACTCCCTGAGCTGTGCACAGGCTCGGTCATCACTGGCACAAATGAGCACTTGCCCTGCAGTCAAGAAACAAGACCGTGTTTACAGCCTGTAATGCTGTGCTTCTTATCCTGCTACAAGCACCTCCTGAGCCAAGGGCTTGCACAGTTCTAAGCTCTGTGCCTGCCAAATGCCTTGACATTCGGCTGCCACAGTCGCTCTGGACTTTGAATCTAAATTTAATAGCTTTTTGTTCCAAATAAAATTAGAGAAGACTAATGGAAGTTCAACATTCCTTTTTCTTACAGAATCTAATTTCATAAAGTTTTCCTTCTGACCATTGGAAACAAGGCAGATACAGCGTGTGTTAAAACATACTTGAACAACTACTCATTTTTAAGATGTGGAATAAGAGAGAACTTAATTTAGACCATTCTAATTTGTCAGCTGTGTTAGAGAGTCTACAAAACACATGTTTCACACAGTATTATTGACATTTGTGAATAACAATCCTCTGCAAGCTGACTCAGATAAACTCCTACAAGGGTAGGTGAGAGAGCCAGCTCTTACCCAGAGTCAGAACACTGTGGGTGGGAGAAAAGAGCATTTTTTTACCCTTACTATTTCCTAAAATAAAACTTGTTAAATTTTAAGGGAATGAAAAGCCCTAAAATAGGAAAGGCAGCAAAGCAGTTAGACTCTCTTCCCTGCCTCCTAATTTCTACCTCATTTATATGCAACTCATGAGAAGCAAATTTTCAGGTGCGTGAGAAGAATTTTCAAGTTAGAAAGGGTGTAAGACAGAACCCCTGTTTTTGTTGTGAACCCAAACTTCAGAAATGAGTGAATGGTACCTTGATCATTATAAATTTTCACATCAGTTTTATCTGACTTGGAACAAAGGTATCAGTATACTACTGAAATGTAACATAAATGTTTTTTTGGAATAATGCAGTTCTTTCCTAAAAAGTATTGCATTGTAGGAATGAACAGCATTTCCTCTTTTAGAGCAAGACCTAGTAAGAGTTTATGTAAAACTATCTAATTTAAAATAGTTTATGTACATAATGTACTTAAACTCATCTTAAGGCCACAAATTACTAAATTTAAACAAGCTCTTTGATAAAACTACAGAAAAGAGTTAGTTCCTTCTCTCCAAGGTCAAGTAGAAGTACAAACCAGCAGAAGCACTAGAAAACTTATATAATTTTGTATTCTCTCACCTGGACCACCAAGGTTGTCGCTGTTTTTATTCTCATTTTCAATCTCTTTCAGTACTTCTCTCAAAGCTTCCCATTTTGGATTACTTTCTAGAACCAATTCCCTTTTCAGTTCTGAAACAAAGATTGAAGATAGCAGCTCTTGCAGCCAAAATATCCTTCAGACTTTAAATCAGTGGTTAGATGTCAATAGTGTGATAGTTGTTGGCACATATGATATTCAACAGCCTACATATGCAACTTGTTATGCTAATGAGCTGGAGAACACTCTTAAATTTAAAAATGGAGATAAGTGCTTTTGTGAAGCAAAACACTGAAATATTCACTCATTCTTCAATTCTGAAACTCCTGAATATATTTTTTTAATAAAAGCAACCACAGCCTCCTACTCTTTCACATAAGGTAATAAAGATGAAACTAAACATCAATGTAATGCAAGAACAATTCCACAAAAACTCTTCCAGTGATCAGCTGAGCAAGCTTAGGAGAATCCTTACTTCGTGACTCTTTTACGTTGTTTATTACATAGTTTTGGAACTAAGATTATGTCTCAGTTTATCCCAGCTAACAGACTGAGATCCTGAGCAGTGGAAGTTCATGCAGGGAACCAGAGCACAAGTAATAATATGCAAAGCTCTTGGAATCGTGTGACACTCTCAAACTTTAAATTAGGAATGATCAGTACCATTTTCCTTCTTTACATCACGTTTTTCGGAGCCTGAGCCTTTGCCTTTCTGATTCAGTTTCTCATCTGCAATGCGATAAACTCGAGCTCGAGCATTCACAAACATTGAAGTACTGGAGTCAAGGAACAGCCAGCCTGGAGAGGAAATGAGAGGAAGCAGTAGTAGTTTGACATCTGCAATGTGTATGTGTTCCAATCCTCTACAGTAAAGCCCCAGATATTCAGCTGGAATACCTGCCCTACCTGCTTGCTGTGTAATCACCAGCTTAATAAAAGACAGAAATGTGATGCAGCTCTCATACTGTTAAGTAACAGCAGTTAAGTGGGAAGATGAAAGAATTATCTGTCAATAAAAACCTACGTCCTTATGGCTGGTTGTGTAAAACCTAATTAGATACCTTCATGTTTGGGAATGATAATTAAAAACATCAACATCGCACTGTTTCATGCATTAACTTGTATTGTTATTCCATGTTTACCTGAGTTCTCACCAAAAGCTTTTTCACTTGCTTTCAGTGACTCCAGGAGATTAAGGAAAGTGACACAATCATACTGGGTTAGATACAGCAGCAAAGTACGTAGGATCTTCAAATCTTGGACCAAAGACTTTGTCTTAGCTCCAAGCTGATGCCAGAGAGGATCTAAATAGTGACGTATTGTCTGGAAATAAAAATTGGCAAGTTTGAAGTGTCAAACATACATTATTGCATTATAGCTTCTAACCAAGCTGAGAATGCACTTGAACTTTACAGGGGACGCTCTGGCTTCCCAAAGTTATTACAGATACCAAAATAAAGTTGTACTGGTGACATACTTGTTTTGATATAACTTACCACATTTTAGCAAAGTTAACATAATATAGATGTCTCTATGAAGAACATTTCAGCAATTAGCAGATGTATATAATTCAATGCTTTCAGTGATTTTTTTTTCTTTTCTATCTACTGGTAAACTATAAAAAAACACCTTTATTTTACTGGTACTGGCCTGTTGTACTTAATATCTAGTGTCCTTTACTTAGGTACAGCAAAAACCATTATAATGTCATTTAGTTTCCAAAATCAGATAGGTGCCATGAAGACGTGCAACTTATAGAGCCCAAGGAAAAACCCTTCAAATATTTAAAGTACAGAAGACCTTCCATGCAGATTAAATCACAGTTAAACAATAACTGTGTTGCACTATTATAGTTGATTTCATCCTAATGAAAGCATATATGTGCCAAACATTGCAGATCTGTCAAAAATAACAATGAACACAAAGTTATTGATATACAAGATTAAAGATACAGCAGATGCATGCATGTACAAATTGTCTATTATGTATGCTGCTTCTCCTACTAGAGAAAATAAAAAACACAAGCACGAAAGCCAAAAGGAAAAAGGGAGTATGTGTGTGGCAATTACTGATACTTATCTCCAAAGTATTCTGAGCTGAAGTTAGAAATATCTTTTTAATAACAGCAGCAACAATTATTATTATAACCAGGGTGTTAAGTCACTGTTGTGACTTTGGAAATGAAGGAAGAACAATAATACCAACACATCAAAAACCCTGCTGGCAACTGTCACATCACCATTACATCCCCTTGTACCAGTAATAAACACATCATGGGAGAACACTCAGCTGCTGCTGGCTGTTTATTTTGCAAATAACATTTCTGTTTGCATGGCAGGCAATTTGGAACTCTATATCCTGTTACTTAGATGCTGCAGAACAATCAAAACGGTTACCTTGTCAAAAGGTTTAGCAATAGCATTCTCTAAAGATAGATCTTCTACTTCAAGAACTGGGTTGTAACGTTTGAGTTCCCTCAGACATGCATTCAGAATGTCCAGGATTGCAGTCTGGATAGCAAGCATAGCAGGAGTCATTGCCACGTGTATTTCCACCACTTCAGGTTTATGCTTCTCTAAAAAGGAGTGCACTGCTATATGAAATCTAAGAGAAAAAAAGCTTCTTAAGATTTATATGGATAGTTTTGACTTAGAATTACTCAAAAGTTTCTACAAACTACAATTACAATTGTTTTAAATGTAAACAAGTAAGTTAATTCCAAAAACAGTTTCTACTGATGTGAAGACTGCAATCTTATGAACAGCCTTGGACCATCTGTTCCACAATTATGACTGAAGTCATTCTAGTCATGTGAGCCTATAGTGCTGGTGAATGATCCATGGAAAATTACTGCACTGGATTCTGCATCATCATCACCACACATAGCAAATATTAAAATAAGCCCAAAATCATATGAGGGAGAAACTGGAAGGGTTTACAAATTCTCTGAAATCACACGGCTGCGCCAGCAGATTTTGTGACGTTTCCAGCTTGCAGTGACAACCTGTAGGCCCTTGTTGGAACCCTGCCCTTGGAGCCACTCCAGCTGCTCAGATCCAGAGATGCCATCTGACTGTTACTGACAGGATGAGGCTCAGAGAACCTGATGGCTGCTGACCTCTACAACTCCATGGACATTTTCTTTACTGCAGCCTGCAGCCCCAGGTCTTTTCATGGAAGTTAAAGAAGGAAATCTAGAGAGCTTCTTCTTAATCTTTCCTACCCTAGGTATGTCCACTTCTACTTCCCTGGGATACTGAAAGAAAGACTGTTAAGGAATTTACAGTGCAGAGGAACAATTCATTAAGAAGGAGTGAAACACATTCCAGCCCAGACTAGTGGAACAAATGGGCAGAGCTCCTGCCCAGGGCAAGATGACTGGGTCCCCAGAGAGTGTCCAGTTCCATTTATTGATCTGCTCCTGGAAGACACAGTGCATGCCGCATCTTGGCAATTCGTTTTTTAACAGTCATCAAGAAATGTTCTTCATACACAACATATGTGTATAAGAAGATTGAAAAAATCTGACATGTAGAAAGAGATGCATGGAGTTTTATCACAGCTGGAAACAAACACCTTCATGATTAGCAGAACTGAGAGACTGTTTTCCTGTCATTATATGGCTTAAAACCGCTTGTTTAGTAAGAGAAGTTATTCTCAAACTGTTAAGAATGTCACTTTTTGCTGTGATTTCTGTTGACTAAAAGGACAGCTCTATCATAAGGTTCATCCTCTTAATAGAGTCAATTTGAGTCTATTTTCAAAAATGCTCTCAGAAATTCAGCATCTTTAAGACTACTTCTGTTAAAAACTGAAAAAATTTTGTTTGGGAACACAAGAGGGAACACAGATTAGCACCTCATTTTCTTAGGAACCCACTGTAACATCCTTCATCTTTCTTCTAAGTTTAACTCTCCAGTGAAGTAAAGAAGTGCCTCACCTTGGCCACAGATAAAGCTTCCCAACAAAAAGATTTTTCATCACTCTTTCCACATGACAAAAGCCAGTGTTAAATGCAACTGCATTATCTGTAAAAGCTTTAATGAAGCCTTGCTTATTCTTCTGACGATAAAGCCGCAAGATGAACGCTTCCTGACAGGACTCAATGATTCTGTGTGCTTTGTACACCAAAATGCCTGGCAAAAGAAAAAAAATATCAAGTTAAAAAAAAAAATACAGTAAGGTCCAGGTTTGTACAGATTTTTCCTCTCTCACCATAACTGCCTTATTATTCTGCTGTTCTTTTAATTACAGGAATTTAAGTCTTCTAAAATTTGAACAGTCTTCTGAAGTTTGAACAGATTTTATGAGGTTGAAATGAATGATTCCTCAGTGTCAATACCATGGGATTGCCAAATAACAGAACTGGGTAAATAATGCATCTTTAATAGAATAAACAAAGCTTATGCATGAGTGGCTGGACTTACTAGCTTGTAAATTTCTTTATTCCTGAAGCATAAATTGAACTTGAGCCTTTTAAAAGGAGGAAAAGCAAATGCACGACTGCACTGCTACAACAATGCAAGTTTGATGTGTTTGAGGCTGTGATAGTTGACTTCTTTTGTTAACAGAAATTCTGGAAATACAGACTTGTCAAGTAACTTGCACTGGTAACAATTCAAGTGTTTACATAATCAAAGAACATCTGAAAACATTTATTTTGCTTTTCTCTCCCATCTGACAGTCATATTCACACTCAAGAACAGCAAGTATTATCAAATATATGAGTATACCACCAGCTTTCTTTACGGCTATGGGTGTAGTAGGAATTCAAGACCTATCAAGCACATTTCAATGAAGAGAAATGAAAGAAGAGTTAAATTTAATTACGTGTTTGAGGTGAACACTTCTGGAGTTTACAGTTCACTCAGCCAAGACCTGCTAAACCAAGGCTTGTTTTTTCCTCATGCTAATCATGTTAAACAGCACATTGCATTATTTTCTTTCTCCCTCTACTGAAGTAAGGCCTGTGTAGTATCTGTTCACAGCTTCCAGTGGAATCATAAATGCCTTTCTAAAATGGAGGCAAAGGACATCAAACATCAAAGGTTTTACCTTATGCCTACATATGCTAATAAAGAGTGTTTGATTTCTGTAGCAAGTCTCCTCAGCTCAGCACCCAGCCATTGATTTTAACATGTCTTTGCCTGCTAAATGAACAAGCATCCAGAAAAGACTTCCATTAACAGCTTGCTATTCATGATTAAGTCCTAAAATAATCCACTACAACGTATTTCTCTATCTAGATATTGTTAGACCTGTCCTATGAAACAAACTTTTCAGTACATAATAATGATCATATCCATCTCTGAGCAACTTCAAGTTTATCACAGTGTTACCCCAGATGGACATGACAGGAAAGACAGAACTTCTAAGAGGTCAGTAAGACTGTGTTTATTATAATACCTTCCTGCTTTTGGTCAAAATATATCTGCTTATGGAGTTCACACCTGCTCTGTAAGCCTTGGTACAAGTAACTTGCCACTTTTTATTACACCAGCTTGCATAAATTTCACTATGCTGTCAGGTACCTAATTTGTACTCAGCTATAACCACCAGGAATAATTCTGCTTTACTGCAGTGATAATTTCTTATCTTCATTTAGCTGGATTTATGAGTTCATCAGATGTTAATTCACACTGATTTAAAAATTGACATTTTTAAAACCTAGAAAGGCTTTTGCTGTTATCTCCTCATGAAACACTACTACAAGATTTTGTTGTACAATCTCACACACAGACAAGGCACACGGACCCAGGTGTTAGGTGGCTGGGAATGAAAGAACCATTGAACCAGTCCATTGCAGCTGCTCTCACACTGACCTCTGGTGGCAATGCAAAACCTGTCACAGCTCTGTGGCACTACAGGACAGCAGCAGTTTTAAACTTTACTGTATTTCTTCTTTTTTTTTTCCCCTTTTCTTCTTTGGTAGAGTAGAAAGGTAGAGGGGAAGGAGTCAAGGGAAAAAGAGAAATTACCACAGGTTTCCCAGAAAAACTATTCACTTCTTTTGAACTTAGAAATATCAGAATTGACAAATTTGGTGTTCTTCAACTCCAGCATAAAAGTGTTCAAAATGTTTTAGAGTGGAACTTGCTATAGCTTGACTAAAAGGAAGAAGTTACAGCTTCTGAAGCAGAAACTCAACTTCTTCTAAGAATACAGCATTCAGCCATGTTTAATCATTAAGCTGTCAACACTTAGAAAACAGGAAAATATTCTTAAATCCCTGGCTCTTAGATATCTCTTTTTCCAGCTCTCCAGGCTGTAACAGGATTTCCAGCTTAGACAGGAATATAAAAACAAAAGTGGCGGGGGTAGAAGAGGAACAGAACATGAGAAGAAAAGGGTAACTCTCACATCTTCCATGTATAGCTTCTATATAACTACAACAAAAAAGTTGCAAGCTACTCTCCAAATCTTTACAATCACAGTAACAGCATTACTTTGTAATATTGCTATTTTCATAGGGTCCAAGCGCGTCAATACAAATACTAGTGAGGTATTTTTTTATGAGACATCATCAAGAGTAATTTGTTAATGCAAAAATAGAGCTAGTGTGCATGGCTCATAAAGCATGACATCTTAAATCAGTTTTAATGATAGGCTACTGTCCAACAGAACACAGAACAATGTCATCAAGCGCAATCAATTATTCTTCTTTGTAAGCCTTTTAAAACTGTATGATTAAGTAAGGCAAACAAGTTGAGAGAAAAAAAAAATCAAAAATATGAAAGAACTACATATTTACTCCTTTTACCTCAGTCTTGGTGAGGGAAAAAAAAAGGAATAATTCTTCAACCTCAATAGCTGTTAGTAGAACTCTTCATATAGAATTAAGCATTGTGTATTTTCAAACAGAACACTCTTACCTGTATTTCATTAAGCTCTTACCGGTAATGAGATTGGCAGGAATTCTGTCAGTAAGGAAATCTACCACCAGGATCCGACTTGTTGCAAAGATGACTCCTCCTTGTGTATAAAATTCATACCGAGTATTATTTGCAATTTCATTGGTAACGCGTCGAGGGAGATGAACAACTCCATCTGACCTCAGCTGATCAATAAAATACTCCTAAACCAAACACAATAAAAACACAAGACGCTATTGTGGTATCCAGGGAATAGGATCCAAAAAGCACCTTTATTATATATACTCCAGTACATAATAAGGAGCTGTCAAAAACAAATTAAGACATGATAGTATAACATACTAAAAGAAGTCAGAATCATTATGACTTTTTTCTCCTTTGACATGCTTTCTTCAGTTTCAAACTCATCTGGGTGATTTAAAAAATCTACATACTCAGTAGTAACTAGACAATACTTATATAAAAATGAGCAACTGACACATGAAGGAGCTTATATTTTCTTGTATTTCAGTATCTCATTTTCAGAGAAAATTCCATTTTAATATTTTTAAATAATTAATAGGCAGTTAATAAATTGCCTCAAGAACAGAGAATTGGGAAGAGATCATCTTGTAGTCCTCTCACCTGTCAATAGATGACTACAGCAGGTATATCATATATACCAAGCTTAATCTTATTAACTACAGCTGTGATTTTTATTCACCTATGGTTGCTATAAAAAGTCCCCCAAGACCTCCCCTTCCTGATGGTGGGGAATTTACCTGGCTCCAGAGAAAAAAGAGCAGGTTTATTTTGTGCAGTTAGGGACAAACCTGTCAAGCCCAAAAAGCATGTTTCACCCCTTTCTCCTCACTGGTCACTTATAAGTCACGTACTTGTTTTATCCCATTAGTGTTACTAGGACTTCATTGCGCTGCAGGAGTAGAGACTCAACTGCCATGATCCATGTGTGTGGTTTGGCAGCCTCCCCAGGACCTGGGGGTGGACAACAAGCTGTCCCTGAGCCAGCAGTGCCCTTGTGGCCAAGAAGGCCAAGGCGATCCTGAGGTGCATTAGGAAGAGTGTTGCCAGGGAGGTGACCCTGCCCCTCGGCTCCGCCCTGCTGGGGCACATCTGGAGTGCTGGGTCCAGTTCTGGGCTCCTCAGGACAAAAGGGACACGGAAGTCCTGGAGCAGAGGGTGACAAAGAGGATGAGGGGACTGGAGCATCTCTCTTGTGAGGAAAGGCTGAGGGAGCTGGGGCTGTTCAGCCTCAAGAGGCGATGGCTGAGAGGGAACCCCACCAATGTCTGTCAGTGTGAGCGGGGAGGGCTCAGAGCAGGGACCGGGCTCTGCTCCCTGGGGCCCAGCAATGGCACAGGAGGAACGGGCAGGAACTGATGCCCAGGAAGCTCTACCTGAACACGAGGAAGAACTTCTTCCCTGTGAGTGACCGAGCACTGGGACAGATTGTCCAGAGAGGCTGTGGAGTCTCCCTGGCTGGAGATATTCCAGAACTGTCTGGACACAGTCCTGTGCTGTGCGCTCTGGAATGACCCTGCCTGAGCAGGGAAGCAGCATCAGATGAGCCCTGTGGTCCCTTCCAACCTGACCCTGTCTGTGGTTCTGTGCCGGGGCTGGTGCACAGCGCCAGGCCCACCCCCCACACCGCCCTCCCCGGAGCCCGCAC